CCACTTCAGAGACAGTGGTACTCGATTTGTCATGGAAATGATTGATGGATACGGTATACGTGGGCTTCGTGTTCGAAAACCCGATGGGATCTTCAGACAGATCCTCAGGATCGAAGTAGTCACCCGTTGGTCGAAGATCGGTAATGGCAGCTATATCGAAGAGAGTTGGAGTTACCATTCCATAAGGCAAATGGAAGGTAAAATGGGTGATGTCCCAGAAATACAGCAAAGCCACCAGCATGAGAGGGCAATAAGCTAGCCCAGTCTTTGATAACATGATCAAGTCATAGATCCCCATATCTTTCCATATTTGGGCTTGTACTTGTTCCATCTTACTCAGCCATTCCGAGTATTCTGAAGTAAGACTAGGACAAGATCGAATAATTCTATTGCCCTTGTTTATGAACTGAAGGTTGATATCTTCCTTCGTTTGAGGATGTTTCTAGTTGGTAGGAGTTACATCTTCAGGATCATTCCTGAGTTTCTTCGCACAACCTATAGGCTTGAGCCTAGGGTGAGTTAGGAAGAAGTTGTTATTCTATTTTGGGTTCTCGAAACATGAAGACAATGAGCCAGACATAGCATACATTTTCCCAGAATACCTAACAGGGATAAGCAACTGGGAGTCATAAGAATCACACCACTCTTTGGCCATGGGTTCAGATACGACCCTTCGTTCCCTAGTCGAAACAGGTACAGGGTTAGTAGAGAAAACCTCTGGTTGTCTTTGAAGATCAGGAACATTCTTAGTTTTTGGATTGTTGGGTGAATTGGTAAGGAAGGCCATAACTGAAAGTAGTAGTGAAAGAGCGAAGAAGACAAAGTTGTTAAGGGTTTTTCTTTGCAAGGAAGTGAAGAATGCTAGGAGTTGTAAAAGAATTACCAAAAGAAGATTCATCTATTTATAGTGTTCAGGAAGGAGTGTTTTTCCCAAGACCATTTAATGCTGCAGAGTTAATGGGGCACGTGGCGAACGTTAAAGAAGTTATCGTACGAGAAATGAAAACGTTTGCCATACTTTCCTAGGTTATAGGGATAATGACCATCATGGCAGCGTGGTAACGGCTGATTGACAGCGACATGTTGGGAAAAAGGTAATGATGACTCTGAATATCAGCAGGGGTTGGTAGAAGGCGAAAAGCACACAAGCGATTTATGTGCTAAAAAAGAAAGACGAATGTCGAATGGGAATCTCAAAGAATAATCATCTCTCCTTGCGTCGAAATTGATATTCTTGGGGGGCAATTTGTTAGCTCCTAAATTCGACACCTATAACAAATTGGCCTTATGGGCCAAAAATAGATTGAATAAGTCTAAGTTGGAAAAGCTTCGACAAAGTAGAAAAGTACTTTGAGAAATTCTAAGTTAAAATGAGTCTTCGACCAAAAGGTTCTCAATCCCTTCGACTGGAGGGACTCCAAGGTCTTCGACCAGAAGGAAGCTTCGTATCTGCCCCTGAAGATTTTTGAATCTGGAGAAAGGCAGGAAAAGCAGTTCGCTTGGCAGTTGAGGAAAACAATGTGCGTGCAAGGAGGGGTCGAAGCGCATGCAGAAGACCCTTGTCTTCATCCTGGAGCAAGGCAACTCCTCGATGGTTACCTAGTTTTAGTATAAATATAGGAAGTTTATGTATATTTCTGTGTGTTCAACTGATCGTACAAATTATTCAATACTATTCAAGTACCGTTGCATGAGAAAGAATACTGAAAAATGTACGTTTGAATCACCATATTTTACAATCAAAGTCTTTTATTTCTCTCTTTACATTTCTTGCCTCTTTATCTTGTGTGCATTTTATCTGCACTTTTACCCAAATTCCTGCACCTAACCTCTCCTCAACCCCTTCTTTCTATTTACTTTCTGCACTCAAACTCATCCCTTTCTCAGTCGAATTTGAGTTCTTCACCCACATTAACGTTTATGTCCAAACAACATCAAAACTTAGCATATGGCCTGGGATCAAACTGATCGATCCTGCGAGTAACCAAAAAGTTATCCTTTTTAGAAGATCAGCGGTTGTTCACCAGAAAACACGGTGAACACTATCACATTAAGATCTTTGTTGAATTGATTATGATCATCATCAAGTTACGAGGTGAGTCATTCTTTCCAGCATCACTTCCTTTCTCATCTATCGACTTCAATTCATTCTACCTAAGCATATTAGCAAAATCAATCAATTACAACACAATTACCAATCAACTATCCAAATTAACATAACCTAACTACCCCAAACACGATCAATCAATAATTAAATCATACATATGCATAACTAATAATGAAAACATACAAACAAACTGCGTACCCCTAAAAATCTCAATCAAATCAAAAGAAAAAAACTCAAACATTTAGCAACTACTTAACGATCCATAAAAACACATAGAGGGAGGGAGAGAAAAAGGACCGAAGATGAGATTTCGACAAGAAGGAAGAAAGACGTAGGTCGCCATTAGAGGCTGGTCTGCACATAGAGGCGAGGGCAAATAATGGAGGTTGTGATTTTGACGGAAAATCGCGAAGGAGTGCGCTTCACAATGGTGACCGAAAAGAAATCGCGAGAAGGTTTTTGGGCGGCGTGCAAAACTCTCTTAAAAACTTGCACAAAATAGATTGAGGAAACGAGAATGAAAAAGAAAGAGACATTTTATTTGTAATTGGAGCAGTTTCTTATTACTGAGTCAATTATTTTTTAAACTTTTGTTATTTAATTTTAATAAAAATATTTGAATATGACATGACAAATTGATTAAAATTGATTGGTTGACAGTATAAAATTGATTTACACTATCAGAACACTATCTTTATTCTCTTAATTTAAACCAATATCTCGTACGAATATATACACTAGTTAATAACCCAAACTTAAATATATACTATTATAAAGCCTAAAATCATATACTCACAATCTCTATTTACTTAATCGTGGAGATGCTTCCAAGTACACTCTCACCTCTGTGTGCTTTACAACAATGATTGTCAGCAAACATTTCGTTAACCTTCAACCATATCAAAGGTTCCCTAAATTAAATTTTAATTAAGAAAAAATTATTAACCATTAAATCAAATTATTTAAGAGAATCTGAGTTTAAATTCAAATTTAAATAAATATTAGTTGCACTTTACTTATCATCGAGGTGAATTTCAAATCGTTAAAGTTTATTTCTCTTAAATATAAAATCAAATTAACAAGTAAAAAAAAGTATAAATAGAGTTAAAATCGTGAGTTAATATAATATGTGATAAAAAAATACATTTTAAACAAAGAAAAATAAATAACTTTTAAATTTTCCATTGAAAATAAACACTCGTTACTTTGAATGGAATTGAACTCATATATTTAAATTATAAATTCATATTAAAATTTATTTTCTTTATCTTAAATTATAAGAGAAATTCGTTTTTTAATTCACTGAATAATTAATATATTAGGTTTATATATTTTTCTTACGATTTGGAACGGATATAAAAGATAGAAAAAAAATGATTTGAAGAGAAAAATCCATTAAAAGAAATTTATGGATGAAATTCATTATTTTTAATATAATTTTTTTATATTTTTACTTATAACCAATAAATTTGTTTCATTTGGGAATTATAAATTGATGCTCTAATTCAACATAGTAATCATATATAATTTTATAATGGTGAGGTGAACTTGTATGATTAGTACTCTAACATTTAACTTAGTTTAAAATTCAATATAAATATATTAAAAATGATAATTCTACTCTACTTTTCGCGTTGGCGTATGTTTGGTTTAAATTTTAGAAGGGGTAAAGACATTTTTAGTGCAGAAATCATTCTACAATGATTTTAACATGTTTGGTTATGTTAAAGAAGAAATGATTCTGAATAATTTTACTTGAAGTTAAAAATTTCTAACTTCTGCTTCAAAATTGATTCTGAATAATTTTATACTGAAATTTTTCATTAACTTACTTTTACATAATTGTATTCAAATATAAATCAATTCTATTAAATTCAATTATATTAAATTCAATTTTATCAAACTCAATTATGTTAAAATCAATTTTATTCATCGTCAATTTAAGAATATATTTAAACTACTTTTATATATTAAATAGAATAGAGTGAATTTAAGATAGAACGAGTCGTGATCATTTGGACCTTTAACATTTCCCAAAACAAATTTAAATATTTTTCACTTTGCATTTATAGTCAATAAAAATGACATCAACAAATGATGAATACACATACAATTTAATCTCTAAAATATCACTATTTCATAAATTTAATCTCTAAACTATTAAAGTCAACAAAAATATTTTATAACTATTTTCTCATCCAACTATTTAATCTTTTTTTAAGAAGTTAAATAATTAATAAAAATTAATGTTAATTTTTTATAGATTAAATTAATAAGATAATAATAGTTTAGAGACTATATTAATTGTTTATTTATTTATGAAAGATAAGACCTTCAATAAAAAATCATTTTCCTCTTTCTATAGATTTTTTAATATGGGTAAAACGGTCAAAGAAAATATAATCTTTGAAAAAATATCAATAGTAGAGTGTATCCACGCGCCATGAATGAGAGTTGGAAAACCTCCATAACCCATGGTTTCACTTTTTTCCCTCAAAACTAAAACCTTTCTCCTCACTCCAAGGTCCTCAAATAAATTATTTGACGTCATTACACCCACTTTAGCTTTTTCCAATAATCGATTCTTTTGTCGTTTATTCCCATCCACGTGGGACCACTCTGTCACTTTTGGCCCCATTCAACCCCACTTCTCTAAATTTCCACTAACAAAAAAAAAAAAACTCCAATCATAAAACTCCTTAAAATAATCATAATATTTTTCAACGGTTCTGATTCAAGTAGTTTTGGCCAATTGATTATGCCGCTGTTTACACATCACTTTCAGAATTTTCTATACCAATAACTCTTTTATAAATTAACCATTTTTTCTATACTCCCTTCACTCTCTCAACCTTCATTTCCTTAAACAAACCAAAACCTTAAACCATAATCCATGATGTATTCATCGTACCGTTCTTCTGTTGCAACACTAAAACCTTGTTACGTAGAACAAGATAACGGTTTAGCTTCCTTAAAAAACATGGATGTTTCCGGTCATGCTAATCGTTTTGTTACGAAATCAATGATAACCATGGGTTATTCCTATTCCAATTCCAATTCCAATTCCAACAGAACTAGTTTCTGGAACATGAATTTTTCTTCACCTAGATCTGGTGGAAGATTCTATGATGCTAGATTTGAAGATCAACAACCTCACTTTCTTGAAGCTTGTTCTCTTTGCAACAAACCACTTGGTCACAATAAAGACATCTTCATGTATAGGTAATTAATTACCTTAAAATCTGTTTGTTTTGTTTAAGGATGTGGGTTTGATGTTTGGTTTTGATTTGTGTAGGGGTGATACACCTTTTTGTAGTGAAGAGTGTAGACAAGAACAAATAGAGATAGATGAAGTGAAGGAGAAGAATATGAATCTTTCTTTAACCATGAAGCAAAGAAAATCGAGTTCTTCAAACAAGGTTCAAGGCCAAGATTATTCGTTTCGTACAGGGACAGTTATTGCAGCATAGTTGGTGCTTGGAAAAGGAAGAAAAGTATCTGAAATAATTATTAACAAAAAAGAAGCAAAGAAAGAAGAGTTTAAAGTTTTTAACTTTTTTCTTTGCATGAACAAGAGTCAAGAGAGAAGGGATTAGTACAGGGAAATAGGGAATGTAAGTGTAAATGCTTTGTTTTTGGAAAAGTGTGTTTGCTTGTTTTGGAAGATCCTTTCAATGAAGTGGCTCGGTTTTTGGGTTTGTCTTTTTTTTTGTTTTCAGATTAAGGTTTTGATTTTGCTTCTTTTGTAGATTATGTTCTCTTGTGATTTGTATATGGTGGTTGAGTTGTTTCAGTTTTTTTCAAAGATGAAAGTGAATACAATGGAAACTGTAAGATTTTAATCAAACAGTTTATGATAAATTTGCAGTGCATCTCTTTCACCTAACAAACACCCCTGTATCCCTCTCCAAAATTTGCAGCATATGCAGAAACTTCGGAATTGTTGTAAACTATTGGTTGCTTTTCTAACTTCCTTATATGAAATTCTCCTCACAAAAAAAAAAATATGGATGAACAATTCAACAAATCACATTCATTTACATTTCGTAAAACTTCTCATTGTTCAGTATCGGACCACCAATCATCCTGCTATCCATTTATTATGGAATCTATTCATCTTATTATTTCGATTTCATTGATATGATCACACATGGTAGAGGAAGAGAGAACACAATCATGACGAAATGCTCTTCTGCTCCGGCCTACAACGTGTTTGTTAAAAAAATTCAACTAGACATCTTTTCTATTGAGTAGGGGAGAAACACAATTTTATATTGTCTAATAGTTTCTATTTAGATATGAGACTTGCATTGTCCATTTTGAGGATTCCATTGTTGCTCTGATGGCAAGGATGAGAGCAAGAGTATTTTTCGTATGGTGTCTCATCTTATGACTTTACATTTATGTAGCACAAACAGAAAATTGCATTACGAGAAGCCATTGAGAATAAGCAGAATTTATTTATCGCATTGTATGAGTCTTCAAGGGTGGTTGAGCAATGGTTATGTGAGAGGTGTATGAGCATTCATGCCATAAGTCGAGCATGTCATCATCTTGATGGTCGCGTTCATGTTACTCGTGAGAAAGGGGAGGTAGGAAGTCACTTTATGGGTATTGTAAAACCATCTACAAAATACTCTGATAACCTCGATGCAAATTAAAGGCTTGTTTTGGATGCAAAATTGTTTGAGAGAGTCCTTTATAAAGTGGTTAGTGAGTAGGGATATGTAGGTGTTTAGGTATGGTTGTTAGTTCTTCCTCGCTCAACTTTACAGACAAAGTGTCAAAATAGGCGGGATCACATTTTTGAAAATAAAATTTTTTTGCAACAACAAATTTTTTAGTGCTTAACTATTTAAAGAGACACATATGGTCTTGCAAAATTAGTTGATAGTGTGTTAGAAAGGTCTAAGCAAGATAATTTGGGTCATGAGAGAGTTCGTATTAAAGAAAAAGATAAAAGGATGAGCTGTAATATCAAGCAATCATTCCACAAGGTTGCAGAAGACCACTTTTTATTAGTTGTGAAAGTGTTGGGATCATACAAACTGGCCCCTTATAATAATACAATGAAGGTTTTAGAGGCTAAGCACTCATACAAACCACCTCCCTCCATGTTGACGACCTTGTTCTCGGAAGCTCCTCTAGTAGATAAAGTTGATATTATCTTTAGGTGAATTATATCATTTTCCAACAAGACATTATGTGGTAGAGATGGTTTGCAAGCATAACATATATTAGGCGCATTGTGTGGAGAAGGTTATTTTGTGGAAAAATATCTCACTACTACAAAACGCGCAAACAACAACGCCCAATTCACGACGGTTCTTCCAACACCGTGGTGACATCTCTAAACCCACGACACTAACATTTTATTTTATTTTTTATTAAAAATTGTTAACATATAATAATGGTTGCAGCCATTGTAGAGTCATGCTTCAGCAAGTTTATGTTTTGATGATTACAAACATCATGATCAAGGCAAAAGGCATTATCAAAAAGAAGAAGAAAAATTATCTACTCAAAATAGATTCTTGGCTTGCATGCTAAGTTACTCCTAAAGAAGACTTTGGTATTTGATCTTCATTATGGTACAAGACTCCAATTCAATATAGTATGTTACTATAGTGCTCAAAATATGTCTAACATTATGCATACATGTTTCATGGCTTTTAATATCACTAGCATTGCATTTCTAAATCATTAAAAAGGTTATTTCACTTTTTCATACAATGGTAACCGGTTACAAGTTTCTGGTAACCAGTTACAGACTTCAGCATTTCAAATATTTTAATGTTACCTGCACTGGATAATCGGTTACTGCATTCTGGTAACCGGTTACCACTAAAACGAATTTAAAAAATAAGATTGTTTTGAATTTTTTTTTTGTTGTATTTGTCCATGAACCATTGCATTTCTACATTCATTTAGAACCTTTTGAAAGGGTGCAATACATGTATATAATTCAAGTGGTTCTGAAGTAGAAACGTACACACAAAATAATAACAATCACAACATACAATTCAACATTTTGTTTCTTATTTTCAAACAAGTGCATTGATTAATATTTTGACCTTACATGAAACTTTTACTCTTACATTTTTAAATACATCAGTAGAAAAGTTTCATCATATGCATTGAGCACTTGTGTAATATATTCATTGAATTATTGTCTTGAAAGAAAAGAGATCAATACTTGATATTGGCATTGATTATAAACTTTCATATCTACTTCAAGAATTTGTTTCTAATTATTTTTGCAAAGTGATCGTGGTGTAACCTTGTTGTCCAGGATTATTGGAAGCAAGAAAGTATTAAGGGAGGATTGTTCTTTTTTTACTTTATATTGGTTACCTTATTTTCAGAATTGTTAGAAACAAGTGTGTGCGTTGAAGAGGATTGTTCTTCTTGCACTTAATATTTAGATCTTAAAGGTTTTAAGAGTCTTTGATCTCCCTATAGATTAGATAGTAAGGCATCACCTTTGGTGCGATTAGGCTTATACAATCATTCTAAACTTTAGTCAAATCTCTTTCGTGTTGGCAAGGGGACTAAAGTACTCTCGGACTGTAAGGGGAACCAGAATATATCAGGTGTTATTTATTTTTCCATATTTACCGCTTTCATATTCATACACAAACCAGAAAAATAAGAACAATATCACATAAAAGAATAAAAATTTGCAATCCGCTTTATTCAGCCCCGTCTTAGGCACACTCAAAAGCCAACAGTTGGTATCAGAGCGGGTTATAGGTAACATGTTCCTAAAGATCCAGAATGGCTTCCGCAAATCAAAATCTGATTTTTAAAGATGGTGGTAGCAATAACAAGCCTTCATTGTTTTGTTGTGAATACTTTGATTTTTGGAAAATCCGCATGAAGTCTCATTTAGAAGCACAAGGGGAAGAAATATGGGATGCTGTCCAAAATGGTTCATTTACTCCGACTTGTGTTGGCAATGGTGTTGGAACATCAAAGCCTAAAGGTTCATGGGATGAAGATGATAATATAAAGGTCCTTTATGATAAGAAATTAATCAATCTTCTTCAAGGTGCACTTCGCATGGATGAATTCTTTCGTGTTTCAACATGTACATCGGCAAAGAAAATTTGGGATACTTTGGTTGAAACTCATGAAGGAACCGTTGAAGTTAAGAGGTCAAGATTGAATACTTTAAGCCAAGAGTATGAACTTTTCAGAATGCAGCCCTGGGAGACAATTCTCGACTTGCAAAATAGATTTGTTCATCTGACGAACCATTTGATGGAACTCGGTAAGACTTTTACTAATGATGAATTAAATCTTAAAGTGCTTAGATCATCGTCTAGGAAATGGCAACCAAAAGTGACGGCTATATCGAAAATGAAAAGACTTTCAAAAATGACATCCGCGGAATTGTTCGGCAAACTCAAAGAACATGAAATCGAACTTGGAAAGTTAGAACAACATGAGATTCAAGATGAGGATTCCAAAGGCGCTGCATTGAAATTTAACTCAAGGGAAGAACTTGACGAAGATGATTTAGAGGAATTCATGCATCTTGTAAAAAGGCTCGGTAAGTTTTTTGCCAATAATGATAAATTTTTCAACTTTGCAAAAAGCGAGAAACTTTTTAGAAAGAAAGAAGGCTCTTTGTCACTATACAATGTGAAATGCTATGAATGTGGAAAAGGGGGACACACAAAGATGAAGTGAGCAAATATGTCCAAGAAAAATGCTTACAAGGTAAGAAAATTCTCAAAATCCAAAAAGAATTACATTGAAGAAAGTAATACAAGTTCTTCATCTGATTCAGAAAGCAAAAAATATGCAAATCTTGCATTTATGGCATTACAACATTCGGATGATGAGAAGGAAGAAAAGATTACTAATTTTTATCCTAAGAAAAGAGTTGCTAAAAATAAAAGTATGTTACAAGGAACTTTCTTCCTACTTGTTTATATTATGGTATTATTGGTCATACACATAATGCTTGTCATGCAAGAAATTCTAATGTTACTAGCGAGAATTATGTGTGGGTCAAGAAAGGAACTAATCATGAAGGATCCAAATCACTTTGGGTACCTAGAAAAACTTAACTTGTTTTGTAGGTTTGCTTGAAGACCACTTCAAATATTTGATATATTAATAAGTGGTCGATCCAAGCATATGATGGGAGGTATAAGCAAATTTTCAAATCTAATAGGCCAAGGGATGTGTCACATATGAGGATAACATCAAATGAAAGATTCTTGGCAAGGAAAAGATAAGCACTAACTTTCATATCCAATGAAGAAGTACTTCATAATGAAGGATTAAGACAAAATCTTTTAAAGGATAAGTCAACTAATATCATGCTATTCTTCTATTTTGATTATGATATTGTTTTGTTTCTTTTTCCCTTCCTTTTTTTTAATGACAAGGGGGGAGAAGATATATGTGTATGCTTTGTCTCTATCTCTTGCAGAAATTGTCAACATACTCTATTGAT